AAAGTTCCCTATCCTATGCTGAGACCTCACATCAAATGAAAACCCCTAAAGTCTAGGTCTGACACCTGCTCAGCCTTCTTTGATGAAAAGCTTCCTCCAGCTGCTGGTTAAGTATCAGTCAGCCTTGGAGCTTAAGTAGTAACAGTTACTGCATCAAATGGGGTTTCCAGTACAAATCCCAGTCATGAAGAAGCCAGCAATTACAAATGTTTAATCTCAGTTTCTTTTAGTTTTGCCAGTTAAATACACATCGGAAAGTTTATATCCAAATTACCTTTAGAAACAAAATTATTAATAAGTCAGACAGTCCAAAGTTAGGAATGGTGAGATGGAGGTTTTAACTACAAATTCAATGCATACCTGTAAAAGGGTAATGGTGGTGCCATCCTTACTCTTGTGCTCACATACCACTTTCACCCCCAGGCTGCATGTATGCACTGACAGAATAACCACGTGCTACCCAATCCATCAGAAATCTGGCATTTTTTTTTTAAGTATTCTACTTTTGTGACCTAAATCATACCTCTCTAATGTACTTTTGGCTACAATAAGAAATCGTGCTGAGAAACTTCATCCCAAGAACGGAGGCTTATTGAGTACATCACTAAGCTAATCCCCCCTCAGTAGGGAGACATGGAATATACAATCCATCGATCCCTTCTGAGCCAAAATGACTAATCCATCATGCTGCTATAGTGATACTAGAAGTGACCCTCTAATATTGCCAAAAGCAGGCACTTCCCCAAATCCTTAAACTGTGCTAATTCTGTAGGGAAGGTGCAGCAATTACTACAGATTCATGCAATTATGGCTTTTTTTGCATGCATTTCACCCCATACATCTGTGGGTGCTGACTGAGCTAAGGTAATTCCCCCTATTCCCTAAAGCAAAAAGATTGCCCTAAGGAAGCCTAAGCAACTTGCTCTAGTTGAGGGCATGGGCATTTGCACTGTGTGGACTAAAGCATACCTGCACATGGATTTCCAGACCAGACCAAACCTAATAAAAATGGGTAGGACAGGAGAAAGATCTGCTGGCCAAATACCACCAGCAGCATAGCCACAGAGGCTGTTTCTGCACCCTGTCCGTGGGATGCACCTGAGTTCTCACCACCTCCCTCAGAGCATCCCACCTTCTTGACGGTGCACTGGAGCAAAGGTCCACCCCTGAAAAGTAATAAAAATACTCTTCTTCCTTCTGTACTCACCATGTAGTTGTGCTTAGAATAATAGCCTTCAAACACTTGCAAGGACAGGACATTGTGATACTCAGTCGGTCTATAAGGACAGATGAAAGTCACCAGGCAGTTTTTTGGCTAAGCACCCTTGTATGAGCTAGCCGTTCCGCCTTGTATTCCCCTAGTAGGAAAGGGGTCTCCCTATTTCACCAGCTGCATCTATTGCAGTCTCTGCCATTAGTCTGCAAACAACTATGGCATGCAGTCTGTTGTAATTCAGTAAACTTACTGTCTCAAACACTTGTAAATGTTTACAACAGTCAAATCAAATGCTTCCAAAAAGACAAAGCAAAATCCCAAATCTAAACATCCCCGAGTCCTAGAGGGGACACTGGATCCTGATGTCAGGCAAGCACACATCTCTCTCATGGACAGAGTCGAAACGTTAAGGTCTGAACAGCCTTCTCTCCCCCACATACTCCTGTCAGACACTTAGGAAATGCAAATTAAGGCTATAGCTTTTTGTTCCTTCTCTTATTTTTACTTTTGTGAGAAACGCAAGTTTCTGATAGTGTTAAATGCTTCAGATAACAAGAACAAAAACAGAGTCTACTTTGAAGGACAAATACTTTCCAGCTGCCTTCACCCAAACACAAAAAGGTCAGAAACTTAGCTCTGGTTCTGCACTTCCCCTTATCAGTGTCCTACAGTGAGGACATTCAATGAAGTTTCCCAAAAGAAACAGAAGTGCTTAAATTCAGTCTTTTCATCTGTTTATCAGGGGACCTTAGATCGTCTACAGCGCCCAACTGATTTCCACTTTCCCTGAACCCACAAGTCATAAAGAAAAGGTGCAAGCTCACCTCTAGAATTTCTTCCACCTCCTCTGCTTCTGAGTGAAATTGTCTGGTTTAATAAGACTTGAATCCCCCCTCACACACACACACAAATGTTTTCTTCACTCTCTTATCTGTGTTTCTCTTCCATAACCTACCTCACATCGCAGAGACATTCTGGCCATTTCTTAGACAAGTGCCAGGGTTTATTTTTGCAGTTAACAAGTCAAACAGGAACACAGCCACCCCTTCAAACTGAGCAGAAGACAGAGCAGCCTGTACCAAACTGTAGGTATTTCAGGCCCCTGAGAGAGAAATGCCACATTTAAGAGGCACAGACTGCTGCCTCACAGTCACCTCCTTTTTAAAAGGAGGAGCTGCGATGCAAACTTAAGCCGATCACACCGACAGTAACATGGAAAAATGGGAAGAGATGTAGCATAGCAATGGAATGGAAGTGTCCTGTGAACAGGGTATATGAGGTCCTCCTGCACATCACCTCTACCCAGAGCAGGATGTTCAGTCAAGTATCATTCCCAAATAACCTCTGCCTAGACTTGAGGATGAGAGAGATGATAATGTCACTAATACCCTGCCAGAAGGGCCCTTACCTAGTGAAAGGCTGGCATTAGACTGCCAGCAGTTTTACTAGCATCACAGAAATCCATTCAAATAAAACCCACCCTAATAGTAAACAAACAAAAGGCTGGATGGCAAACATGAGATTTCTCTCCTTATAATTTCCTACACGTACCAGAAATCCTTACATCAGAGAGAGCTGGTGAGGGAAGCAACAATGAGGCCAGGAACAGCTCCACGCTGTCAAAATTAGGCTTGTCAGATGCTGTTGAATGTCTTTGTCACGTAGTAGTTGATGAGACAGACAAGAGCTCATTTTCTTTGGCCATAATATTTCAAATTTCCTGAAAGAAGAAAATGGCTTACACAGTGACATTGCCAATCAGGTCATACTCCTCCTCACCACTCAAAGCGATCTTTTAAGTTATTGTGCACTTTTAACTCCAGCTCGTGAAGAAAATAGTCTCAAAATTGCTTAGTTCTTTAAAGTCCTGCAAAAACAAGGCCCAGACTGGTGAGTGCTCCTAGTCAGTGCCCCAAACAAAGTCTGAAGCATTTCATCCCTGTCAGGCATCAGGGAGTCCATAAAGCCCTCATGAGCCACAGGAAACCAAGCTTCACTGGATTTTTTTTTTTTTTTTAAATCATTTCATTAAATAAGTGAAGGCGGCCCCAAGAACAAAACACAACACATTATTTCTGGCTTTTGCAGAATGTACTGCAATGTCACAGCTTAGGCTTCTCTTCTAAAATAGGGTTGATTAAACCAGCCAGCCTTTTCCCACGTCAACGCTATAGCCTTCCCAGTCACCTCTTCCTTATACCTGGCAATTGCGTCCTGAACTGGAGCTTCACCGGTTCCTTACCTGTTAATCCATTGATGATCTGCTGACTATTTCCTACAGCTCTGGCAGAAATCTGTAGAGGTAAGTTTGCCATGTAAGAATAAGCCTGTGTCAGCTGACCGTAGCCATCCCCAGAGCCCAGTATAACGCTACCTTTTCTAACAGAGCCACGAGATACATATGTTGTTTCAAATCTCTTTTGAACATCCACAGAAAGCATAACTAAAATGCTTTTTCAATCCACAACCACACCATCCAAGCTTTTAATCTTCCCAAAGCTGTGTTTTGCTGAAATGGTAGTCAGCAGCTTTAATGAAGTACTTCAGTTTTCGGTACACCTAAGCTGCAACTACAGGATGAGATCACAGTGCAGGTAACGTGAACTCTAATGCAGTTAATGTTAGGCAGAAGTGATAGCACCACTGCTAGCCCAAGCTGCAGCCTAAGAGCACAAATTCTGAGGTCTCTAAAAGGCACAGCGGAGTCTGTTGCACACAGTAATTTCCTTGCTACCTTCTTTGCCTAAGACAGCATAGGCAGACCATCACATGCTAGGCACAAGTTCACTGTAGTGGCACACTTTGCTGTGTCAGCCATGCCTTGTTTGGGAATCCAAGGCTACTGCACTACTACAAAATAACATTTACTCCCAAATAGCAATGTCTTCTCTTGTTGCTAGCAGTACCATAATCAATTGTCTTGTTACCTACAGATAAGTTATCTGTATTCACACACAAAGCGTCTCAAGGAGGAGCAGTCAAAATTTATGAGGCTAAACTCTCCCACAGAGCCATCAAAGTGATATGGAAGGGAACAGCATGTAGGCTAAAAGAGCAATCCAAAGTCTACTGTTTTAAAGCTGCAGTGGACTTGATTAAGCCTCTTGGGCTTTTAATGAATTCACCTCAATAGTGTTTTTCAAATCATAGACTTTGGGGAAAGTAATCTTTAACATCTCACAGTCCAACATCCTTCCAAAATGAAGAGGTCTTAATATAAGTTAGAATAAACCCCTCAGGCTCCATTACACCAATGCAAGGATCCTCTCACCTCAATTCTTCAGCTACAGCTTATGAAGTTGACCAACTGCTAGCAGAAGGCTTCTCCCTAACATTTGCACACAAAGAAAAAAGGTCACAGAATTCCAGATACACAAATTCCCAATTCCTCAATTCCCAAACCATTTCAGAAGCTAAAACTTCACATTTCTTGTAGAAGCTGGAGTTTTGCCTAGCTTGCTATCTTTCCAAAGACAGGGAAAGATGTTTGGCACTCAGAATTCCATTAAATGAGCAATTTCCGTTTTTTTTTTTTTCCTCTTTAACAGGACTAAATTGAAGGCTTTCAAGTGTCTAAGTGGTATGCATGAAGCTTTACTTAGCACCTTCCATAATCAACAGCACACCCTTTTGCCACCTATTCAGAGAGAGATGCTCATCAACAGCTTGTCACTGTGCTGTAGAAACACAATGATTTACTCATTGTAGGGAATGGAGGACAGGTTATATCATTCAGTTGACAGACTCCATGAAAATTACTCAAAAAGAACAGGCAAATATCAACTCAGGACAAAACATACTTTATTGTACTGTAATGTCAGAAGTACAAGAAAAGTACTGCAGAGAACCATGCTAATGGGGCTTTTAGGGTCTGTGAAGGACAGAAGTACAAGATAATGGGGTACTACTGTACTCAGTGCAAAAACTGATTCATTTGAGGCACAAGTACACTATTGTTTAAGCAGCTTGATTCAAGCACAGCTCTGGTATGTGATCTACTGTTTTCTTTCCATGTGACAATTCTATAATAAAGCTACTTTTACATGAAACAGGCAGTAGATTCAAGTCAGGGGTGTCCAAATTGCCACTTGACAACCAAAAAAATTAAGAAAAATACTCTGCGTAGTCACCCTCCACATTTTAGTTTCAGATATGGAGCTGTGGCTAGTGAACAAAAGTTATTCTGAAAGGTCAGAGCCCAGATCTATTTGCTTGGGTGGGCTTTTTTTTCCCTCCTTGTACACCTGTGGGTAATTTATTTTACGTTGACCAATAAGAAAAAAAATAAACTTTTATCTTCGATAAGGAATCATACATATCTAACATTCAAATTAATTTCAGCCCTTGAGATCTTAAATTATGGCTTAAGACACAATGAAAGTGTTTGGGCACCCTTGAGTTAAGTTAATGAAGAGCATTTTTGCTAAAAAGGCAAGCAAGATCATTGTTTTAAACAGAGCTGAACTCTACAAGAAGAAAGCAGGAATCCAAGTCACTAGTTACTACTAGGCTGACATGTACTGCTGCCCAGAAAGATAAAAATGTAACATCACAATGGTTCAACAAAGTTGAAAGATAAAGGTTTTGACACCAGAAGCAGCGTTTGAAAACAAGCTGTTTAAGTTAATCTTTTCAAGAGATGCAGATTGCATAACTCTAGGCATGAACAAACATGCTGGTAGTCTTCTCCTTTTACACAGCAGCTGTGTTTAACATAGGAAGTTCTGGGTTTAAAGAAAGCTACTTGAAGAAGAATTAAGATTTGCAATTGCCTGTCTACTTAATGAGATTAGTAGAGAAACGGAAAAAAAAAAAATACTACTGAAACAATAGTTTCTCAGTGGATCCCTATCATTACAAACACAGCTTCTGATTTGTAAGCAACGCAAGACTAAACAGACAACTATTATTTTATATTATTATTATGCTTATAAGTTACATCAGTTAAAATTAAAAAAAGCCAAGCAGTTTTGCCCTATTTCAAGAATAGTTTCCAATCAACACCAGTTTACGTGGTGAATGGGACTTCACAAATAAACAAGGAATGGTGACATCTTTGGGTCAAGAACAACAAGAAATAATGGGCTCTGTGCTACCAATCAACCTCAACAAGAATATGGCACAAGGGCCAGCCCAAGCTGTACCAACACTGAACCTTTAGCACTCGGCACAAATTCGGATCTCTTTACTTTAGCTAGCAAATCAGGTGAAAAGACCAGGTAAAAAAAAAACCAAAACACTAACTAAAAACTGAAGCCAAAAGTTGGAATATACTTTTTAAAAAACATCTGTAGTTTTAAAATAACTTTATGCTGACATCAGTTTGTGCAAACTAAAAAAACCTCATTGATTTCTCTCTAACAGAAGACAAATCCCCCAAATATTTTTCCTTTTAGCCCACTGTATCTGTAGATACAATCTCAAATCTAACAGATGTAAATGCAAGAGAGAAAAAGTTACAGCATTTGCACAACATTCTTTCTACAAACAGCTGCTGGAGGGAAAGTAAAATACAAAAGGAATAAAGAAAGGAAGGTTCCATCTGAAATACTCTCACAAATCTTTCCCACTCTGTTGTCCATGAATCCGACTCTGATGCTAAGGTGACAGTGTATGTAAGCAGATTTTTTTGTTGATTTTATTATTTTTGAGTTCCAGTTGAAGAGAACCTGAGAAGAAACTCAAGTCTCTTCAGGAATTGTCGGATGGAACATGCTCCTCAAATCCTTCACTCTCTCGGACCAATGCTCTTTCCAGGATAACACGGCCTTCCTTGTAGCGCTGGCTGTCTTCAGTGGCAAATTCATAGATCCAACCCAGTTTGCTGTTGCAGTTCTTGCAGCTCACATCTCGAACCATGTGGCGGCCAGTGAGCATGACCCGATCCTGAACTTCACTGTATTGCAGATTTACCACCTGATACAAATACACAGGGGACACGGAATGGAAAGGATTAGTCGGCCTAGAGCAAAGCTTGGTAACAACATGCATGACTATCGACATTTTAAAAGTAAAGAGCGTGTAGCACTGCGCATGAACTGAAAACTACACTAAGTCAACAGCCCTTGAAAATCTCCTGCTTGAGAAGGTAACACTTAAAAATGTATTTTCCAGGGATGTATAACCCTTAGTGTTTAACTGAGAGACGTGAAATGCTATCACAAGATGTACGAGAGTACAGAGTACTGTCTTCAACTTTGAGTGAGAAATTTCTGGTGAATAGCTTGTAAACTAATTGATATTAATCCACTTGTAATATATGTAACCCATTTCTAGCAACTGATGTGATCACTTATTCCCAGAAATCAGAACCAAAATATTAAAAGAGGTACTTAAAAAAAAAAAAAAAAAGCATCTTGGTGTGCTTTTGAAATAATAATCTAAGAAAAAGGAAGGCTCAGTGGCTGAGAACACAGGCATTAAACATTCACCTTTTTTTTTGTGTGCTATCTTGGCACTTTAAAATATACTTTTAACTTGTTCAGGCAGCAACACCACAGAACCAGGATGTATCATTCATTGAAAAGTTGACGTCAGAACTATGTCCAAACTGCTTATTAGCAGTTGCGGTAGGATTCTAAAAGATGGGGTTGCACTGCTTTCTCAACTTTCCACCTGACTGTGCTTGCTCTCTCTGCTTCGGTGTAAGGCTTCTGACTGCAGAAACATAAAAATCAAACTTCTGTGATTAAACTCTGCTACGTAATACAAGAAAAATTTGAAGCCCAGGATCCAGTGCTTATTGGATGAGAAAGAAATCAGATGTACAGCTCTTTTACAGCTATGCAGTCTAACACTTACATACAAATACTGCTAACAGGATTCAGCATACCAGAAATCCCAAGGCCAAGCACAGTTAAGTGAAGGCATTACTGATGCCTCTATCAACTCTGCCACTGACCAAACGGCTTTCAGGAAAAAACCCAAACCAAAACACAGCAATGTCGAGGAACTTTGTGAGAAAGCAAAGGACAATCACTGTTTGTTCAATGAGTCTACTGGACACGTCTATATGGAAGGGTTAATAAATAAAGCTACAATTTACTCAGAGTTATGACTTCCATATTTCAATCTGCTGAATTAAATCAAATTTGATCAATTAAAAAAATATTAAACTAAACCAGAGTATTATTGCCTGTAAAAGAGATTGTGGTTACCTAAAGTTGCCAAGCTACTGTTAGCTTAAACACACTTTAGAAATTAAACAGAATACTATCTAGACTTTTTTTTTAACTGAGTAAAAGTGCAAATGCCTTTGAAACTCTTTCATAGACAAGAGAGTCTTGCAGTGAATTTGAGGTTCATATTACAGAAGTCTCCAAAATTAAAACTCCACACATTTTGGCATGATGCCTCTATATACACAATCCTCTTTATAGTCTTTTAGTAGTGCAGATAAACTAATTTAGATAGCTTGCCATCAATAGTAAATGCCTAATTTGACTTCAAAGACAGTTGAATAAACCAAAATAAAAATAAAAAAAATTAAAACAGTAATTACACAACACTTTAGCCAAGAAGATTTTTAGTTTTGATGACAGATTCATACCCACAAACTCATTTTTCAAAAGCACATAGTAGTTCCCACTCAGCTTCTTACCAACCTTGTTAAAAAGAAAGGCTCTTCCTGTGGCCCCTGTAAAACGAGTGGAGATGAGCTCAGAACGATTGGTCAGAATCGTGTCGCAGTTTGCACAGGAGAATAGGCGAGTGCCACCAATATGATCCAGAAAAATTCTTCCCATTTTTAGAACTTTGTAAGTTTATACTCAAGACCTGAAAGCAAAAGGAAGATCATGTACGTGTAAAAAAAAAAAAAGCATTGCAGCAAAAAAATCCCAAACCACCCCATACATATGGCAGAATATTCTGCAAACCAATTCAGCTAATAATTGCAGAGGTTCTTTCTTTCATAGGTGAATTACTGAATTTATAGACTGCATTCATCCTTTCTTATCACGACAAGTTCTTTCCTAAAGTGACCATCTCACCAATAAGATGACACACCTAGATACAAACTAATTACATTAAATGAGCAAAACATGAACTGAAGCATTTAAAATATAGTTCAGACATTTGCAGACCACTACTGGACCCTACAGTTCTTAAACTCAAAAGCTTCCACTTCTTTCCTATTTTCTTTTCCCCTTTAATACAATACTGAAATTCCATTCCAGTGTATTCTCAACGACTCACCCACCTTAGTCAGCACTGGGAAATGAAGCACTGAGAACTAGATTGAGTCACCAAGACAATTACAGTTTAATTTTCCTGAGTTATCCCCCTCTTTTTAAAATACATATTTATTTTGTCACTTCCCGTCAGCTTTGCACAATTTATGACATGCAACCACACAATACCACCATCCAGGATGCTTTAATCTTCTAGCATAGTAGACCGGGCTACTGTATTTGACTTCACACCTACTGGTTTCATATACATAACAACACGGGAAAGGTTTGGATGCTATTTCACATAAGAAACAATCCTCCCAGTCTTTACACCAGACAGCTTTATATACAAACGTTTAAAGCTGTCTAGTCTAAATACAAAATACTGTGTCATTTACCCAAGGTATTTCCAAAGCATCATCACTAAAATACCTGAGCAACTCCAATCAGCAGAGAGAGCTGAGAAAGTTTATAGCAGCAGACCTGCAGTACCTGATAAATAAACCTCTTCAGTGCTTGGGAAAATTAAAAGTATCTCACCAACTTTATACAAACGAACATAAATTACTCAAAGTTAACTAGCGAGTAGGCACAGAACGTATCAGACAGCTGAAAACTTAAATCACGAAGGATGAGATAACATGACAAAGGAATTAAGTGATAATGTTATTTCCATTTCAACTGCAGAAAAGTTTTATGAATAGACATCTATAGTTAAGCAAGTTAAATATACCTTCATTTATGCTTCAGATGTGAAATCAGAAAAGAGTATCGTCTCTGCTTTTTTCATGCGCAGCAATGCAAAATAAGTCTGACACACTGCGGTATTAAAGTTGTGTGGGTTTTACTTTTCAGAGCAGGAGACAGTGTACTGTTCATAGAGAAATTAATCAAATTTTGTGCTCCTCAAGTTGAATATTCTATGTCAAATGCCTTTATGAAGCACAAATACCTAAATTAAACCCATGTCAAGTTTCAAGGGATCAGTTTCTTAAAGCTTACTCTGACATGCACAAAGCAAATGGACTAAACCATGCGTGTGCACACACAAAATTTAAAATACCGTTATTTACATGGAAAAATCTTAAGTCACTGACATCATGATTTTTTTTCAGTTGCTGTATTTCACCACTTTGTTTTCGTACAATGTGCAGCAATAAAAAAGGGTTCCTAGTATTGAACAGAGTGATTTTAGCACAAGTTTCTTACATTCAGTTTTTTCAAATCACTATTAGTCTTCTGTATCCCACCTGAAGGATACATAAAAATTCAAAGCAATGGAATGACTCTTTCCTTTAAAGGTGATATAATACCCATTTCTCTTCTTGAAAGGATAAATAAAACAGGTCTTGAGTTTGACAAAAATACTTCAAAGACAGCTGAGTGTAGGGGTGTGACTCCTTATGATGCTACTCAAATACAGGAAGCATTTTCCCTCAATTTCTCTAAGCATTATACCTTTCTAATATGCCTTTATCTTTACTAACAAGCGAGGGCAAAAGAAAAAAAATAAAATGTGAATAGTGACAGCATGAAGGAAAATCAACAGACAGTAAGTGTGAATAAACAAGTATCAGTCAGTCTCCAACCAGAAGAAACCACACAGAAGCAATAAAAGCAATCGTGACAGATATGCCCATAAGGCACTTGGCCTAGTTCCATGTGTCATCCTTACTAATTTTGGATAATGTTATTTTTGTGTTGATTGTATTGTGGATTAAAAACAATTAACCAATCATAAGTTATTGGAATCAACATCCATAGTAGTATTTCTTTCAGGGTAAACACAATGCTCACCCTGTCAGTATTTTTAGAAGCTAACATAAAACAAATCCAAAACCATCCCTCTGTTTCACCAAGAGCAACACAAACACTAAGCTTGGTAAGTGACAAGAACAGATCCGTTACCCAGACTAACCTTGCAAAGCATTCCATTTTGAAAAATACACATCTGAACACTTAAAATGCAAACACATCAGCTATCTAAAAACGTAATTTCTGTTACTACACCCAGAAAAGCAGTAACTCAGAGTCACTAAAACCAAAATTGAAATACTTCAGAAGAGAGTGCGAGTGTAATTCTTACAAGCAAGATAGAAGTCAAAGTGACATACAAATATATTACTACTGGATATGGCATTATGCATGGATTGAAATGTTGAGTCCTGAAGATACCGAATGTTAAAATAAATGAATAAAGAAATATGTTCAAAGACTTAAGGCTGAAAACCCTGCCTAGTAATACAAGGCCTAAAATCTTCAATTATTTATATCACCCCAAAAAGCTGAAAGTAACCTCATTAAGTATCTAAATGAGAAAGAAACTTCCAGTAAGACTTTGGTCCTGACAGAAAGACAAAGTGAGATTCATTTGATGGTAGCACAAGGCTATGAGAATTCAGGCTAAAGTTACAGCAGAATCTAATAAACCAACTGATACCAGAACAATTTTCTTCAGAATACAGTGCATAAGAAAATAAATAAATACACATTTTAGAATTTAGAAAATTAAATTCTACAATCTGCATTGTAACAGTCAAAATGGATTAGATTTTGAGTATGTTTTTTTAAGAAACTGCTAAAATAATGTAATCCTACTGGAATGTCTATTGTTTAAAATAGCCTCTACACTTAACTGCCCCACAGTAGATTTCAGTCAAAATAGATAGCAGCCTACAACTATCATTAGCTCTTGGTTTTGATTGCTACAGGTTTCAATGAATCTGTAAGGGTCAGCTGAAGTGTTATAAAACCAGTCACCTTACATTATTCTTTTTACTCCTGTGAGCAGTAATACAAAGTAGGAAAAAAGTTACAAAATGACAGCTAGTAAAGCAGCCTTTAAACACTGCATTTGACCATGAGTTTTCTAAATAAGCTAACAAGGAACTTTTGCTTTTTGCTCTCGTATAAGGTAGAGAATTTCAACTTGGGATCATTTCACGCACCTCCCTTTTTTTTCCCCCCAAGCTAAAAACACAGTATTCACTTATAAGACCAATTCAGAAGGTACTTGCTGTGGATAAAGACTGTTCTCTCCTTGCATAAGGATCCTGAATCCTGTAGGGATTCAGAAGCACAACAGAACAAGGCAAAGCAATTTTCCATTGCTCTCAGGCTCATATCCCTTATATACAGAAGTGGTGTGTACAAAGTCACCCGAGATAACTGTGTAATTTTCTTCCTATAGTTTTCACTTCCCATGTAAAACGTGTGGGCGTCTATTTATTTTCACACATACATAAACTATCTGAAAAAAGCCACTTATAGGCAGCTTTTATAGGCAGTGGGAGGGCTCTCTGAAATGAATAAAAGCCAAAGAATTGTGAAACATTAAAGCATGTCTAAAGCTTAAGATCCTCCAATTAGGGGGAGGAAAATGCAAGAAGTGCCCTTACCCATTCATCCACTCTCTACGCTTAGAAACAGTGAAAATAACTTCCATTGGTTCAGAGAGCCAGTCAAGGCCCCTATTGCTATTCACAGCCCCAGAAAGTGACACTACCGTATCACACCAATTCCATCACGCTACTAGCAGAATTTTCATAAGCAGTGGACAGGAATTTCAGTTACTCACAAAACCAAAGGCTGAGGAAAAAATAGAGATTTTTTTTTGGCCCATGATTTCATCTTTAAAGTCAGCTAAGCACTCTTTGTTGGATATGTGTCAGTGATGAAGTTCTAGTGATCCTGCCCTCATGTAAATTACCAAACACAAGTTGTAATATTAAATTAATGGCTCCAATGTAAAAAAAGGCAGACTTTTTTACTTTCACTAATGGGATACAAAGTATCTACCACTTGTCAAATCCACACAGTTCAAAGAGACAGGTACTTTTATGAACTGAGGGCAGATGCCACTGTGTCATTATTCAGCACCCTGACCACCACTATCAACGTGCATCCTTGGGAGGACCTTTAGCAGAACACTCAATGCTAGCTCATATTACCTAGCCAGTAAGGTTTGCTCACAGTGCATTATTTTGACACTACAAACCTCGATACCACTTCTTAGTCATACTGTGAAACATTTCCTGCCTCCATGCTTCTCCCAGCAAGTGCATGGAGAGACAGGAAACACAACCACTGTGGCTGTGTGCTAGAATAGATATTCCTAGAGCACTGTGCTCCCAAACTTCCACCTGTCTTTCAGCATTGATTCTGGCAACACTGAGCAACAGCTGTCAAAGAGCTGACATTCGACAGCTTAAATTTGACCACTGTCTGCCCACAGAGCTGAAACCCCCTGAAGCACTACTTGGTTGGTATTTGTACAACCTAATCTGCCTACCTTCACAAGCAATAAAGAACAAAAAAAGTAACACGAAGAATTATTTATTAACATTTTTAAAACTAACAGTCAGTGTTTTCTTGTCCCAGAGTGCACCTCCTGAAGACACAGGACCGTCAGTGTTTGGAAGAGCCAGCAGGCACTTTCTATATACACACTGGACTGTGGATATTTCAGGAGCCTCAGTGTTGCTTCAGCACCATCTACTGCATCTCAGATCTACAACAGAAAACAGCTGCTAGTTAAAGGATAAAAAACCTATGACAGCCTCTCTTTTGCCATTTCACCAACAAAAAAACATTTTCCTTTGCATGGTGA